TAGTCCTTGGTTTTAGTCCTAGGTCCATGATCCACCTTGAGTTGGTTTTTGTGTATGGAGTGAGGTGTGGGTCTTGCTTGAGTCTTTTGCAGAAACAACAACTTTTAAAAGAAATCAAAGATTTCAATAAAATGGAAAGGCATCATATTCTTGGAGTGGGGAATTTTATATAATATAGGATGACAGTTCTTTAAAAATTGAAGTATAACTGAATACATCTCCTACTAAAATGAGATCTTTTTCTGTACATCTGGACAAGGTTCTTCAAGACCCACAGATACAGACCCAGCGGATTTCTGAGAAAGGTACAAAATGGGCTCAAGACAAGGAGGAGAACTTTCCGGTAACTGGCTCTGGAGGAAGTGGGCATGCACACGGAGAAGCCTCAGTCCAAGTCTGATGCCTTAGAAAACGTAACTCACAGACTCAAATGCAAACAGACGACTGTGAGCTTTAGGAAAACGCAAGGAGGAATCCGTGCGATTCAGGACTGCGCAAACAGATCTTAGACTTGACAATAGCACATGACACAGAAGGCAAAAAAAAGTATGAATTGGCATTATAAAAATTAAAAGTGGGTGCTCTATCAAAGGCCTTGTTAAGAAGGTTAAAATGATAAACTAGTCTTTTTGCCCAGCTGTCACTATGCAGCCGTCTGGATACTAGCCACATGCAGCCTGTCAAGCCGGAGTCACCAGGGTGTTGGGCAGGACTGACTCACAAGGACAGTGCACGGAGGTGCGCATGGAGTTCCTGGACGACCCCGGCCCCTCCATCATCCACAACATCAAAGGGCCAGTGCGTGAGGGCAGCGTACGCGCCTGCTGGAGTCAGAATGAGAGCACTGGTCCTGCATGTCTCCTCTACCACCTGGCCCATGGGGACAATCTTCATTGTTCAGGAAAATAATGAACTAAAAAAAAAAAGGATAAGCTACAGAAGTAGAAAAAAGAAGGTGCAGATCACATAGACACCAAAGGAGTGGGACCTAGAATTATAAAGAACTCTTCAAAACACAACAGCAGAAACCCAGCGATCTGGCCAGAAAAGGGTGGACGTCTTCTCATGAAAGAGAACACACATGACACACACGTGAAACTGTTTCTATCAGGAAATGCAGGTGGGAACCGCGACGAGGTTCACACCCATCTGAATGTCTAAAATAAAAAATACAGCGAGAGCGCCACGTGCTGGTGAGAACGCGAGGAATCCAGGACTTCCCTCACTGCCCCTGGACGGAGCTGGCACAGCTGCTGTGGACAGTCGGTGGACAGTCAGCCAGTTCCTGTAAGAACGAAGCCTGTAGCTATCACACAACCCCTGGGTTTCACTCCTTGACGTTTGTCCCAAGGAGCGAAGACGGTGTGTGCATTGAAGCCACACACGTATTTGCAGGAGGTTTATTTGTAAGATCCCAGGCCTGGAAATGAACCGGATGTCTTCCAGCAGGAACATCCAAACGACTGCGGTCCATCTGCCTCATGGATCCCGCGGTACTGCAGACTGTTGATGTGTCCAGAAAGGTGGCTGAGTCCCCAGAGACAGTGCTGGGTCAGTCCCCACATGTTCCAGGCTGTGATTTAATTCACAAGACAACCTGAGAACAGCAGAATCCCGGAAATGGAAGACAGAGAGGGTGTTAATAGGGATTAAGGAGAGGGTATGGGCAGAGGGACAGCGGGAATGACTGTCGAACACAGTGTGAGGGACGCTCATGGGGATGGAATGTTCTAGAGCATGCCTGTGTCAGTGCAAGACCCTGCCTGTGACTCTGAACCATAGTTTTGGTAGACATTTGTGGAAACTGAGTAGAGAGCACACGGTCTCTGTATAATGTTTTACAAGTTCATGTGTCTCATTTATAATCTCAAAGCGTTTCACTACAATGTGTGAGAAATGAGAAGCAGCCGCTCAGAGCTGTAGACAGGCGGGGAGCAGGCTTGAACTTACCATCAGAGGAGGGAGAGAAGTACAGCGCTGGAAGCGGGAGTGGGGAGGGCCTGGGTGCAGGACAGGGTGGTGCATAGGGAGCCCCCCGGCTGGCTCACACTGGTGGCTTCTCCAGGCCATGACAGGTCACAGGTCGCAGTGAGACTTGACCATCCCGCAGTGACTGGACTCTAAGCCCGCAGTGAGAAGCGGTGTGGACTGAGGACAAAGCCAGGCCTCGCTGTCCCCAGCTCAGCCCTCACCCAGCACCTGAGCGCCCGTCCCAGGGGAACGGAGCTGACGCATCAGAACAGAATCCGGGTGGCCGGCCCTCTGTCCTACCACGCTCTCCGCACCATTTATCTTGTTATCTGCTGCTTTGCCAGCAGGATCCGGTTCCGGCAGTTTGAGAAGATTTTATTCAGCCGAAGCTCGTCAGTGAAAAAATTCTGTGTCGTCTGTTTATGTGTTATTTTCCTGGAAATGAGCACATAGGTCTGTTTTTCCAGTTTGTTGGATCAACGTGTAGGAAACACTGGCCATCAGAGGTTCCTAGTCCTTCTCCTGCGTGTGTACACACACACACACACACACACACACACACACACACACTCATACATGCTCACAAGTTGCTCATACCCCGACACACACATACACACACACTTACACCCAGCACACATGTTCACATTTCCTGCACACACATAGACCCTCTTGCACGCTTACACACTCAACTCATACACTCCACACACACACACACACACACACACGTGTTCATGTACAATACCTCACATCCCATCCACACACATCCCACACTCATACACCTGATATCCACACACACCCCCTACCACATGCATACACTCCCCGCCCCCACACACACCCCATGCACACTCACACCACACACTCACACTTTACACACATACCCCACCTGCACAAACACATACCCAGTGCACACAGACACCACACAGTCTCACAGACACTCGGGCATGTGCACACACAGTGATGCCGGGCACCCCTCTCACCGGAAGCCTTCCTTCTCATGAAGGGGTTCCTCAGAGGTAACCCTGGTTACCGGGATCGTTCTGGGCGTTCGACTGTGGAGGCAGAACCAACCGTGTATAACTAAGGAATCCCAGGTGGGTACCGTGCTCGGACAGAGCCTGTGTGTGGACAGAGGAGACAGGTGCTTGACGAGCGGGACTTTCACCGACCTTAAAAGGTGTGCTGAGCAAACACTCAGGAACTGTGCTCCAGGGAGCAGAATGTGCCCCGAGGACTGGAGGAAGATGAGCCACCAGCCTGACACACGCACAGAGCACGGCCGGGCCGGCTGACGGTGAAGAGGTCGCGAAGCACTTACTGGTAAAAAGAAACTACAACCTTCAGTGTGGATTTCACCACCACAGAAAGAAAACACAGTTTCTCACCACTGGACCTATAGATGACATCATGATAGATGGAGAAAACATTGAACTTGTCAAGGACCCACCATCAACACCCAGCGAAACAGCAGTAAGAAATCAGACAACATACTGCATTGGGCAAATCTGCTGTGAAAAACCCCGACACGTCAAAAAGCCAGGGTGCCGCTTTGAGGATAAGGTGCCCTGCCCCAAGCCACGGAACTGGTGTTCACTTCCTGTGCACGTGAAAGCTGGACAAGGAAGAAGGAAGGATTTCCCTGCATTACGATGTTGGTGAAGAATGCTGAGCACGTGTGGACGCTAGCAGAATAAACAAATCTGTGTCACGGGAGTATGTCCAGTGCTCCATAGAAAGATCGCTCCCATACACGCTGTCAGGAGGGCCATTTCCGGGAGGACATGGTGCTTGAAGAGCCGAGGGACAGTGGGAACAGTAAGTGCCTCCATGTGACACAGTGACAGTGGCCACAGCACAGGGGTTGGGACGGTGCAGCACTGGGCAGCATTCCACTCTACTGTCCTGAGGGCCACAGGAGCCACGACCCACAACCCAGACCTGACTGTGGGGGCTGAAGTGGAGAGAGCTCTGGGCCACGCGGGAGGAGGGTGCCCCCAACAGGGAAGGCCAGCTTCGGACACCCCACATTTTGCATTCACATCCGAGCCACGGCTGTCACACCTTGATGTGGATGGAGGCCATCGGTCACATCTGCCGTTGTGACTCCAGGGGCCTGCTCTAGGAAGCCCTTAGTGCGATGGCTCATGTACCCGCACCGGGAGGCAGCCTGGGACACCTGTCCATAGGACCTCATCGCGTTGTGCATGTGCTCTGCGCAGGTCAGGATTTAACCCTTGTCTCTCGCAGGACGGAGAACACGCCGATGATCGCGGGCCTCGGGAAGGTAAGCCGACTCCGCTGTGCGCTGGCATGGGCATGACGAGCTGGCCTGCTGCCCAGGGTGGGAGGTGCCACGCCCAGGGGCAGAGCTGAGGGCTGCTCAGAAGGGCCTTTCATTGGGGAAAGGTCAGTTCAGGGCCGTGTTTTTGTTGCTCTTGGGAACCTTGGACAGAATGATTCATTGGCTCGCCCATCAGTCTCCAGAGGTCTCTGGCTGTCCAGGACTTGGTTGTCAGTCAGTTCTTACTTGTGGGGACACCACGGGACAGAAGAGGAGCCAATAGCGGTTTCTAGGCTGGAATCTTTGCAGAGACACATTCCAGACATGCTCTTCTGTGGTCCTGCTGGCTGGGTCTGAACCACCAACCTTTAGGTTGACCAGGGACCTTAGGAGGTCGTGTTGTGGAGTGACACAGGAAAAAGCTAGGGTTCCCCTCCCTTCCTGGACAGCCCCAACAGACGCGGGGAGTACCGCGCTTCCCTGCGCTAAGCAGGGCACGCACTTTTCTTCCTTTGTTTCCTACTGCAGAGGAGAGCTACCTTGACACTGTGGTGTCCTGTGCAGTAAGTCCACTTCTGCCCAGGAGACTGTGACACACGGTGCCCATCCATCAGGTTCTGCCCAGGCGACCCTGACACATGGTGCCCCTCCATCAGGTTCTGTGCAGGCAACTCTCACACGTGATGACCCTCTGCAGCTTCCTAGCCTGGGATCTTTTATTGAGGAGACTGTCTATCTTTCTTCCAAGGACTGGCTGGTAGATTTAAACACTGACCTTTTGGCTAGCAGCCGGGCACGTTGCATGCTCTGCCATCAGGGCTTATTAGGTGTGTAACAGCAGGATGAGAAGTCTGACAAGTGAGGAGGACCCTGTGTGACAGTGGCCTGAAGTGGGCACATGTAGATGGGAATAAAGCACCTGTGGATTGCCGGGCTGCCTCGGGCATTTAACTTGTTAGGAAATGGTGCCTCGAAGCACAGCCAGATGGAAGGCGACCGAGCAAGGAGGGCGAGCCAGCCGCCTGGTGCCACTCTCCCCGAGCCCACTGCTGTAGCCCCGTCTCTGGCCTGGCCACCTCAGTGACCGTCTTCCCCTTTTCTGCTCACTCTTTTCCAAGCGGTGGGGCTCTCGTGGCCTAGTGGGTGTGGAGTTGCAGCTGCACCCTGGGAGGGAAATGGGCAGCAATCTCCTGTGTGATTTACAGCCTCTAAAAAGCACTGGAGCGGCTGTAAGAGCAGTTTTTACCCCTAAACATGACATTCTCCTCCAGAGTCCCCTGACAGCATGCCCAAAGTACAAAAACAGGTCACAGCATCCTTCCCTCGAAGATGCACGCAGGACATGCTGCCTCCAAGCCAGGAGGAGGCAGTGTCCGGTCTGTTGTGCCTGAGATCACTGAGTCTCCTGCCCTCGGTTTCACCCTGGTGGGTGCGCGCCCTCTGCCCCCTACCCTTGTCCTGCTGAGCAGAATGTGTCTGTCCTCAGGCCGCAGAGCTGGTGAGCGAGAACTGCGAGGTTTACGAAGCCCACATGAGAGAGATCAGAGATTACCTGGAGGAGCAGCTGCAGGTGAGCCTAGGCCCCGCCACAAGGGGGCAACTGAAGGCCACCCAGTGATGCGCATGGACCCGCCTGGAGAGGAGGGGGCTGGACGGGACAGCCAGGGGGAGGAGGAAGGACCAGAGGGAGAATCAGATCAGCGTCTCACCTGCTGGGATCCTCACGTTGGAACTGACCCCTAGCTGACCCTCCAGCGGGTTTTCACAGGCAGGGAACCTCGAGGGAGGAGGTTGTGCACTCTTGTCTAGAGCCGTGGAGCGGTTGGGGGCCTCGAACCGCGTGCCTTTGGTCTGACAGTGCAGTTCCTTACGACCAGGCCGCCAGAGCCTCAGCCTCACTGTGTGGCGTGGAGGGGGAACCGACCCCAGCTGACCCTCCAGCGGGTTTTCAGCCACAGTCTGTGATGGTCCCCTCCGCTCACATGGTCTCGTTCCGTCTACTTTCCTGCGTCCCTCATGGTCGCTCCCCTATGTCAGGAAGATGCCTCCTCCTCCGAGCTTACAGCCGACTCCTGCCCACCCATCGGGTTTCCAAGGCTGTGAAGGACTAGATGGTCCGTCCTTCTCCCAAGAAGCTGCTGATGGGTTTGAAACACTGCAGATGTTAGCAGTTGAACGCAGTGCTGATCACAGCCCCAGAGCTCCCTGCGTGTATAAACCCCAGAGCTCCCTGCGTGTATCAACACCCCGTCAGTGTAAGTGTTGATGTCTATAAACGTGTGTTTCCCAGAACGTGGCTGGGTGTGTGCTGTGACATTGTCGCTGCTCCTTCCTGGCCCTTTTCAGGCTGCATTTGGGAAGAGAACCTGCTTCAACAGCCACTTTCCAGGGACAGAGCGACTCCCTAACACCTGTAATGTTTCCATCCAGGGACCCCAGCTGCAAGGTGATTTGGCTCCCTCGTCCCACCCTGATGGTCTGTGTTGCTCTGGGACAAGGGAGGAGGATGTCTTTTCTCCCAGAACTCCATGGGGGTGCAGAAGGGACACCTGACCTGGGAGGCCCCCAAGGGAAGTGAATGCAGACAGTCAACAGGACTGGGGTGAGGCCAACACTGTCTCAGGACCACCCTCTCCCTGGCAGGCCGCCTGGTGCTCGCCCAGTGCAGGACGCTGCTGGCCAGTGTGGGTGCCGCATGCCACTCGGACCTCGGGGACCAGTAAGTGCTGACACATGCCGTTCACAATGTGACGGGTACCGTGTCACTGCCTGGCTCCCTGTTATCGTCCAGCCCCCATTAGGGCTCTCAAAGGGCAAGGGGTCTGTGTTTGCATGGCTGACTGTGGACATGAGCCGTGCTGGCCCCAAGGGGCTGGAGAGGGGCTGTGCTGCAGGGGATGGCCAGGTGCCCGTGTGAGCTCCAGAGAGAGGAAGGGGTGAGCTCTGGGGAGGGAGGCTCTGGATTTGGGGGTGGCGGTGCTTCTCTTCTTTGAGGGAAGAGTTGGGGAGAGAGACGAACCCCGATAATGTGGCCTCCATGTAAAAGCTGGGGTTGGAGGGTGTGGGGGGGGGGTCGCTGTCCCCTCTGGCTGTCCTCTTCCTCATCATGTGCTTACCACACCTGAGGTGGGAAACTGAGGCACGGGTCAATGAGGACAGCGCCTACCATCTCAGCAGACAGTTTGGGGTCCCAGGGGTGGGCAGACCCCGCTTGCTTATAGCTGCAGGTGGGGAGGCAGGTGCCCTTGGTGGCCTGTGTTGGAGGCAGTAGAAGGAGAAGTCTTGTTGGAGGCAGTAGAAGGAGAAGTCTACCTGGAGGGGGTGTGGTGTGGGGCTGTGCAGGCCTGAGCAGAGGAGAAGCCTGGGGGGCATCTGGGATCCCACTGGCTCCTGGGTTGTGGGGGCAAAGGACAGGGGTCATCAGGCCAGAGCCCCTGCCTTCAGGCAGAGGTGGAAATGCAGGGGACATTTCCCAGGCTGGGGTCAGTGATCCCGCCTTCCCAGCTCCGCCCCACCAGGCACTGGGACCATGAGGGGGTGCAGTGGGGCTGGGTGCTGGTCGGCTCTGGCCTGCTGACCGACCACCTCCTAGAAGTCTCCTGTTATGGAACCACATCTTAGGTCAGTAACTGTGGGTCCTGCCGTGAGCCAGAGAACTCTGGGCAAGGAGAGGGTTACATCAGGGCAGCAAAACTAAAGGGCAGTGGCTCGAATCCCCCAGCTGCTCCAAGGAGAGAGACGGGCAGTCTCGTGAAGATCCCCTCAGAGAGCCCGCGGGCGGCCATGGGGTCGGTGGGCACCGCGGCCCTGGTTCCGGGTAGACAAGGAGCCCTGCTGGCCTGGTGGGTGGTCATCGGCTGCTCCCGGGAAGGATGACGCAGCAGTGGCTCCCCTAAAGATGGCGGCCGAGTCAGAATCAGCCCTGCAGCAGCGGGGAGGCCTGGGGCTCTCAGTGCGTGTGAGCCGAGCTCTGGGGCCTTCTAGTCCCTCCCAGAGGAGTAGACCCTTCTGTCCCACTAGACCTTTCCCCAGAAGTACCTGGGGGCTCTGGCCGCTGACCCCTCTCCTTCCTTCCCCAGGAATACTGCGGGTGGGGGCTCTGACGGCTGACCCCTCTCCTTCCAGGCCCTCCCCAGTGCTGCTGAGCTGTGGAGTCCCTGTTGACGTGGCCCGGAACGCCCTCCGGCTCAGCGTGGGGCGCAGCACCACCCGGGCAGAGGTGGACCTTGTGGTGGAGGACCTGAAGCGGGCTGTGGCCCGGCTGGACACCCCGAAGGCCGAGGCTGGCCCTCCACTGTGAGCCTAGAGCTTGGAGCAGAGCAGCCCGAGTGCCCACCACTCTCCAGGACCATGGCCTCCTCCTCCCGCAGGGCCAGGAGGTGATGGCTTCCTGGCTTCTCGGAGTCTCCACCTTGTCCTGCCGCCTGAGGGCCAGCAACCTGGGAGTGCATGGCAGGCTCACTTTCCCACAAGAGTCCTGAAGAGGCCAGCTGTCCCCCAGTCACCCCCAGGCCCAGGGACACCCCCCTCACATAGGACAGTCACCCCCAGGCCCACGGCACCCACTTCACACAGGACAGTCACCCCCCTCACATAGGACAGTCACCCCCCTCACATAGGACAGTCACCCCCCTCACATAGGACAGTCACCCCCAGGTCCAGGGACACCCACCTCACATGAGATGGTCACCCTCTAGGCCAGGGACCCACCTCACATGGACCCACCCGCAGGCCCAGGGACATGTATCTACATGGGACAGTCAGTCACAGGCCAGGGGCACACCCACACAGGATGGCCACTTGTGTCATGTCCAGTGGTCAGATGGACATGGATACACATAGGTGGGTGGGCTGCCCTCAGGACAATAGCTGAGTGCTCGCTGTCCTGTCCTCTCTGTGACTATGACAGCAGACGAGGTCCCTCCCCTGCACCTCTGTGGGGTCCACATCCACACCCTTGGCCAGCTGTGACCGCCTGGATGGCTGCCCCTCTGACACCAGCAGGCCACTGTCGCCCTCTCGGGCCCCCAGTGGATGTGGGGCAGGTGTGATCAGTGGTCCTCCTGGTCCCCAGGGTGGGATGTGGGCTGTGAGCCGGCCTCCGTGGTCACCTCCTTCACTAAAGGACTCTTCACCTGTCTGAGGACGTTGCCACACGTGCCACCACCCTGGTGTCACAGGGACATCCACACGGGATGTATTTTCTGAGAACGACCGGTCAGCATGCAGCCTTCAGTTAGGAGTTGTGTGAAGACCTGGAACGGACAGTAATAAACACCCTGGATCCACCATGCTGCATCTGGTGCTCTGCGGGGGAAGCCTGGTCCCTGGCGGGGTTCTGTCCACGCACCTGACACTGAGGGAGCAGGGCCACGTGCTAGCACCCATCTCATCACAGCACAGGGGTGTGGAAAGACCCCACCCTGAGGTTCTTGGGGGGCAGGTCCAGTGTGATGGGGCTATGGTGTCCCCCTCAGGGAAGAACAGTCTGGAAAGGGTGGACGGGCTTGCCACTGGCTGGAGGCCAGGCAAATGACCTCTCCCACCTCAGACCACACCCTGCATTATCTGCAGGGTCCACAGCGCCCACAGCAGGGCATGGAGAGCCCTGTGAAGTCGCCCCCTTCCCCTGGGCTAAGAGGCCACAGGCCAGGGGTCCAGGAGCCAAGTGTGGATTTGCTGCTGTGCTTCAGAGCACTAGCCCCCAGCAGGTCACTGCTGTGTAGACACCCCACTTGGTGGACAGGTGCACCCCTCTGGCCCCAGGTGCCTGCTCTGGCCCAGGCAGCTTGCCCCAGGCCCATGGAAAAGTCCACTTGGGCCTGCTGCTGCCCAGAGAGGACATTCGCACCAAGCAGACACACAAGGTGCTAGACACCCACAGGGATAGACCAGCACCCCCCACTTACCCTGCCTCCTCGTCCCTGGGGGACCTCACAGTGCATCCACAGCCCCCGGCCCCCATGGGGAGTGGCGTGGACCCATGGCCCCCCTGCCCGGCACTCGCCGCCTCCCATCTGCGCTCAGCGTTGTTATCGGTAACCGGATCCGGGGGCTCGTGCCCACGGCTGAAACAGGAAGCCTGGCCTGTGGGCGCAGAGCGGAGCCACTGGGGTGCCAGGTTGCTGGGTGGCTGGGCATGGCGGAGCAGCGGGCGCTGGTGGCCGCCAAGCAGGGAGACCGGGCAGCCTTGGAGCGGCTCCTGACGGAGGGGGCCCTGGGCTCGGGCCCCACCGATGCACTGGGCGCCGGCCTGGTCCACCTCGCCGCGCGCGCCGGCCACCTGGACTGCGTGAAGCTGCTGGTGCAGCAGGCCCGGCTTCCCGGCAACCAGCGGGCCCACAACGGGGCCACCCCGGCCCACGACGCAGCTGCCACCGGCCACCTGGCTGAACTGTGCTGGCTGGTCCGCGAGGGGGGCTGTGGCCTGCAGGTGAGGGGGCTGTGGGCTGCAGGGCAGTGGGGAGGTGTGAACCCAGGTGCTCTGACACCAGCATGCTGAGGACTCAGTCCTGGTTCTTTGTACTCATCTGTCCATGGGGACACACTATCAGCCCGTGGCTGGTTCAAATCCCAGGTCACCCCAAGCAGACCTGCATTCCTAGAAAGTCCCAGCGGCCTCCTCCACCCTAGGGTCTTCACTCTCCTCCCACATGCCTGCTGTCCGCCCCGCACAGGAGCCACGGCCTGGGGTGGGTAAAGCCAGTGTCAGGAGCCCTCAGGCAGTAGAGCTGAGGGTAGGAGGTGGGAGCCGTGGGTGGGTGTGGGGTGGACAAGGCTCAAGGCGCTGCTGGGGACACAGACAGCTAAATATTGGTGGACAGTCACCCTGCTGGGCTCCCCTCCAGGGCCCAGCTCCCCTTATCCTGCCTGCCCTGTCCCCACGTCCATTGTCCTTAAAGCCTTGGGAGCCACGGCCAGCCCCTGACCAGACAGGCCTCTCCCAAAGGCTGCTGTGATCTGCTGGGTCCCTGGACAGGGACTAGGAGCTTGCCGCCCACCCAAGTCTGGCCTGGGCACTCTTGGCAGGTGGCACCTCAATGGCCAAGAGGAGAAGCCTGTGGACACTGGGGGCAGCCCCGTCACCTCCTGGAGTGGACCTGGCCCCTGGCTGGAGTGCTGTGGTGGGGCCCAGTGCACACGGAGTAGGGAGAAGGGTGGGCAGGGTGGCCTGGTCAGACCGGAGCTCTACCCACAATGCTCTGGTGGGACAGCCTGGCTGGCCGCTGGGCTCACAGCCCCACCTTTGGCCCCTACAGGACCAAGATGGCTCAGGAGTATCCCCTCTGCACCTGGCTGCCCGGTTTGGACACCCCGTAGTAGTGGAGTGGCTGCTTCGAGAGGGCCATTCAGCCACACTGGCCACCCTGGAGGGGGCCTTGCCCCTGCACCACGCCGCTGTCAGTGGAGACCTGACCTGTCTGAAGCTCCTGGTGGCTGCCCACAGCAGGTGCGGCACCCACATAGGAGCCAGGAGCGGGCCTGGGAGGGTCTAGCAGGGGCACACTGTCCCAGGGAGGGGACCAAGGGGGCAAGGTTTAGAGCTGGGTCAGGAAGGGCTTGGTGCCCTCCTGGTGTAAGGCCAGGCGTGGTGGGAGGTGGATGTTTTACCATGAGGGGTGAGGGCCCTGGAACAGCCTACACACAGCCTGTGGGCCACTGAGAGAGCGACTGCCGACAGGGGGGGTGCCCTGTGCCATGTGCAGCAAACAAGGGTCCCTGAGGGCTGAAGGCAGCTGGTCAGGTGGCCTGGACGTGCCCTCCATGCTGGGACCCTCAGGGAAGGTGTAGGAGGGTGGGTGCAGTTTGACTCCCATCTGGGCCTCTCTGCCCAGCACAGACACCCACTGTGAGGCACAGGGGCCTCGGGACCCCGTTTCTGGGTTTCTGGTTTCCTGCCGAGAGTGGAACTCCTGGCCACGGGTCCTCAGCTCCAGGTTCTCATGACTCCACTCCCCCACCCCGTGTCCCTCTGTCCGTGCGCTGGCCTGTGACAGGCCTCGGCAGCTCAAGTGCAGTGCCATTGTCCCCCCTGTGTGTCCTGAAGCCCTCTCAGCCCCACGATGCTGTCAGAAGCGTGGTCATCGTAGCAGTTGCTATCACTTGAAAACCAGCCTTCAGTCGCCCACACTTGTGTCACAAACCAGCTCCCAGTCACAGACACCACCACCCCCAGTTATTTAAAAGCACGAACACACATATGTTCATGTCTACAGTCACACGCTCACATGCACGTCCACCTATACTTAACACACGTTCACGGACACATGTTGCACATTTCACACAGCCCCTCACAACACACAGTACGCACGCACGTCCACACACGTGTATGAACACACAGGCGCACTCTCACGTAAGCTTACACACCACGCACCCACATGCATGCACACATCGTTCTCACAGAAATACAAAGCCACACACACATTCTCACACTCTCAAACACACACATGAAAGGTCACACACGTACAACGCACACACTCCCACGTTTGTACTCCCAGGCACGTGTACACACATTCTAATTCTCTCTAAAGGCACGGAGGCCGCTGGACCTGGCGCCACTCCCACCTCCACTGCCTATCTGAGCTGAGACCAGCTTGCTGCAGGCCCACCGGCCAGGCCACGGTGACCTCTCTGACCTCCCCCACATTCGTACTGAGCTGCCTGTCCCACCCTGGCAGCGTCCTGAGAGTGTTGAGAGTCACAGTGCCCGCTGCATGGGGTCCTGACCGGACTCAAGGTGCAGGGACCACTCCCTACATGATTTTCACCTCCCTGGGACCCCAGTAAGGGAGGAGCTCCAGGCCCTGCAGTCAAGTGTCCTATATGGGCGTGGCTGGTTGCTGCCGCCAGGGGCCTGTTCAGTTCCCTGCAGCCTGGCGCTGGGGATCTGGGCTCCCTTTGTGTGATGTAGGGGAGGGTAGAGTGGGTAAGGGGCCCTTCTCTGGTCCCTCTGTCCTGCCGTGTCCCATCAAGGCAGGACTGACTCATAGCTGACCCTCCAGTGGGTTTTCAGAGGCAGTAAATCACGGGAGGAGACAGCCCGTCCTTCTCCTGTGGTTGAAGCCTTTGGGTTGGCAGCGCAGCTCCTTACCTCTAAACTCCTGCCTACAGCCCTGGATCAGGGATCAATCTAAAGAGGCCTGGGCGCGTGCAGCCCGCAGGGGTGGCAGGCAGGGGGCACTGGCCGCTGGCGTCAGGCTGACCACTCACCCCTTGCACTGAGATCGCGTCCCTGGAGGTCAGCCCCGTGTGCTGTGCAGTGTGATGGCCATGGGGACGGTCAAGGGCCATTCCGCTGTCCCTGCCTCGGATGACGGTGCTGCAGGTGGCCCTGCGGGGGTGGACACCGCCCTGGCCAAATGGCGGCCCTCCAGACCCCGCGCCCCTGACACCGCCTCCTCCCACAGCGCCGTGAACCGCAGGACGCGCAGCGGCGCCTCCCCCCTCTACCTGGCCTGCCAGGAGGGCCACCTGCACCTGGCACAGTTCCTGGTCAAGGACTGCGGCGCCGACGTGCGTTTGCGCGCCCTGGACGGCATGAGCGCACTGCATGCGGCCGCTGCCCGCGGCCACTACTCGCTCGTTGTCTGGCTGGTGAGTGGGCACCAGAGCCCTTCCTGCCTCTGCCATGCCGGCTCCGTCCCCGGGCCCAGCTTGACCACCTGAGGCGTGGGCACCCACAGCTGTGGGGGTCAGGCTGAGCAGACATGCCTCCCCCTCCCCCCGTCCCACCGC